CAGCTCTAAAGAAAAGGGGAATTGCTGCATACTTTAAAAACTGAAGAGAGAAGAAAAAAAAGCATCCACCAGCCTGGGTTTTGGAGACAAAGCCATTAGTGTGAGCTGCCAAAGAAGAATAAAGAAACCAGAAGGGATGCTCTGGGAAAAGCCTACAGAGGAAAGGCCAAATTACTGCTGCTACCCAGTGGAGCTAAGGGATTGATGCCCAGGCCAAAGCCACAGACATGCCTCAAGGCCAGAATGTTTAGTTCCCCTGCTACAGGAGCTGCCTTTCACTTAGTCCTGTCCCTGAGCTGTTCCAGGACAAGCTGGAGGGTCAGGAACCCCCCACTCCGAGAGCATTCCTCTGATGCTATCCCCCACCAAGGACATCTCTCTGATGCTTCCCCGCCAGCACTGTATCCCCCCATGCCTGGGAAGCACCACAGCAGGGGTCCTCAGAGCCCTCCCACTGTCAGCACCCTCCCTTGCCCTCAGCATGGCATGCTAGAGCTGACTCATCTCTGAACTGCACTTTGTTGAGCTGTGCTTCAGCTAATTAAGCTATTTATTAGCCCAGGCTTAACGAAGTCATTCACCACTCGGCTTTATTAATAGCCATTATTGAGTATTTAGCTTATCAAGGTGGCGACAGATTCACCTGGAAAGCCCACAGTGTTAGCCAGTGTGGTGGGAAGGCTGAGATGCTGAGAGCATCCCTGTGCCAGAACCAAAATGAGGGCAGCACTGTGCCGCTGCAGGCAGGACTGCCTGTGTCCTGGGTGCAGTGCTCAGGCTCCAACGATGTATTTGGGCTCTTCTAGGGGACTGTGGTTTGGGGTTTTTACAGGGTCCTTTCCCAAAAGTCTTCAGGCAACTTGAGGATTTGTAGCTTTTCCTCTGCTGAGAGCTCTGGGGTGGATGGGTGACCAGAACAGCTCTGAAAGTATAAAAATTATTAGTTCATGGCTTAGTAAGCTAACATTACTGCTCATCTGGAGTGCAGGAGTCTGCTTCTCCAGACCAGGAAGAACAAACTTCTCATTTTAGTCACCAAAAAGGCTTTCTATATGTCCTGATGTAATAACTGCAGTCACTGAGCAGTAAATCCACTTCCAGGAGAAAACCCTCAAGAGTCCACAGGGATTCACAACTGTACTATGGAGAAACAAGTGCCTCAAAAATTTACAGGTTTTTAGGAAAATAAATGTTTGTCCTGCCTCCCTCTTGGAAAGAGAGAATAAAAAGAGAAATATTTAGGCAAACAGTTCTCTTACTATTTACATAGAACATAGGTGAATATTTGCTCCAAAAAGAACAAACAAACTCCAGTCCCCCCAAAAAAAGAATTATTGGGGTGAGTGCCAAAAAATCCTACTAAAAGTCTCCTGACCTGGTGCAGACCCTGGACAATGAGAAAGGAATGGGACCACCCTTCTGCTACCCCTTTGGAAATGGTTCCTATTAGCACTGGGAGCTTCTCTCCTTCCTGTGGACAACTCCCATCAGAGCCAGCTAGTGCAGCTCACCTAATCACAAGGGTGGGTTTGCTCCCCTTGATTTGAAAATCAGCTTTGCCAGTGGCTTGATTGAGGCCATGTGGAGCATTATACTCCTGTTACTCATGTTATAGTTTTTAAAGGCAGTCACAGTGATTTACCTATAAATGTTGACAATATCTCAGCAGTCTGCCAAAGTTTCCATGAATGACCTTGGTCCTTGGAACAGAAGTGATAGTCAAAAGTACCCGAGGAAGGTACTTCTTTTTTTTTTTTTTTTTTGGTTTTAAATGAAGCTTCTGCTTAAGCCAAAGGAAAATCTGAATTTGTGGCCCACCCACCTGCATACAGCAGCAAACCTGGGCCCCTTTCTGTGCACCACTGGGCTCAGGATACATGTCTAGCTGTGACAAAATGCAAGTTTCAGAAGACCTTGTTTATCTTCTGCTTTCCACAAAAAATGTTACTGATGTTTTGCTGGAGTCTGTTGAACTATTTAAGAGACTGAAGTCAAAAGTCATTGACTGCAATTTCTGGTAGTAGATTCAACGTAGGTTATAGTCTCTATAAAGTTTTGCATTGCTGAATTATAACAAATCCTGATGCCTTTGGGGGCAATAAAAATAACTCCAGCATGTGACAGAAAATGAATTATAATTCAGAATTATTCTTCATAGAAATCATATATTGTTTAATTACAACTATAGTGGCTTTTTGATTCTGAGATAAGAATGGTTACCATAGTGACCCAATCCTTAAAGGTAATTTTTGCCTAACATTATATAAAGCACTATATGATACCTACCTTCACAGAAAGCAGTTTACAAAGATGAGTTTTCCAAGTGTTAGGTCTTGAGTATGAAAAAGCAACAGAAGCTATATGGAAAAACATTATCCATCCAGTTACTGCCTGAAGAGCCTTATATGCACATTTTCCTACAAGCACACTCCTAGATGTTGTCTCAGATTCAAAGCAAGGTGTAAATCTTGCTCAGCTTTCTAGCCCATGTAGACTCTACAGAAGAATTTCAAACATCTGTGGAGAATTAGAAAAAACTGAGAGAAGGAAATCAGAGACATGTTTGTCCTGCAGAACAAGCCACCCACTAATGCCTACCATCATAGGAGTTAAAGAACGTATTTACTTACTTTGAACAGTCTTAATAGGTATTTCTCTAATAGACCTGCACTCCCCTGTGAAGATGTTGGGAAACATATTCTGAAGTCATAGCCATTGCTAGAGTCAAGCAAAGGCACATTTTGACACATGAAGTGAAATGCAATCCTCAGTGAGACTAGTACAAATTATTATTTGTCAATAATAACATCTTTCTGGGGCTTCTTTTGGTAATTCTTGCCTATTTCCCTGCATCCCTATAGTGGATTTAGAGGGACTGGTCTGCAGCGTTGCTCTGGGGAGTGCAACCCTGTTCCTGTGCTGAGCCGTGTGGAGAGCCGGGTGTCTCGCACCCCCCATCAATAACCAGTCACACATCCTTGGTGGCCCATGAGGACAACACAGAACCTCTTTCACTTAGGTGGGTCCCTATGGTAGAGAAACCAACTTGCCTGTTGGTAGGAGCCCTGTGGGCAACCATGGCCATGGTGATGGGGCTGAAGGACTGGTCTGGTTACTGGACCTCTGCTGCCTCGTGGAGTGCAGTTGTTTGTCTACCCACAGCTCAAAACCATTATGGTTATTAAAGATAGTCAGTCAGAGAGAGAGGCAGCACCGACCCAACTGGGGTGACAAGTTGGTTTTCTCATGTCATTGTAGATTTTCTTGTGATTGCCATGCAGCAGGTTACTTTGGTATATGACATCCTATACTACAGCCACTCTTCTTAAATTACTTTATGGTCCTTGCTCTGACACCCAGGGTAGCCCTGATCTGGGAGAGTACAGAGCTGACAACCCCTGTCCAGGGAACTGTGGGTTTCTCACTTCCTGAGGTGACTTTTCCTTCTAAACATTCCTGACAAACTGTAGCCAATCATGTGAAAAGGCTGATGCTGTACCTCCAGGTGATTAATACACCAAGCCAGCTGAATGTGGGCTTAGTTTAGGCTGTTTGCCATAATTAACCTTTTATTTTTGGAAGTTAATAGATGTAAACTTCTTCCTTCCCAAAATGGAAAGGCAGAGGTTGTTTCAGTGGTCTTACACCTTGCTTCAAAGCTGGCCCGCATGGGACGAGATAAAACATGTGGCCTTTACAGCTTCCCTAGGATGTGCAGAGAAGGGATGAAAGTTTCTCTCTGTCCCACCACTGAGTGATGAATATTTTCAATAGCAGGTTTAGTTAAAAAATGTTGGGCCTTACAGTAAAGGCCTACCAGCCTCCTGTTGCGATTGTCTAGCAGCGATGAGGGAGATCAAGCCCAATAGCCTTCAAATGTTTGACTTACTAAAATGTGTCCCTCCTTTTCCTCAGTGTTCCCTCTTCCCTTACCCCAAAGACACATTCATGCTAAAAGCCATCCAGTCCTTCCCTGAAACACAAGTGGTGCCGAGTCCACTCAGCCAACCTCAGCTGTGCCTGGAGCGTGAGTGGACAGGCTCCTTGTTTTAACATGTGGGATGTGTCATATCCACTTGTGCTTCATCTCAACTTAAACATTTTTGCTTTCCAAAAATGTTTGGAAATGTTCCTTTGTTGCGTCCAAAGGGCAGAGGTTTAGATAAAAGAAATCATAAAGGAGATTTAATGTTTGATAAAAAGAATACTAGGGTGCTAGAGCAATTCCAAATGTATATTTTATAGATGAATAATTAAGTACCTCGTGTCAGTGTCCAGGCACTGAATATGAGAAATGAAGGATGCAAATACGGTGACAGAAACAAGCCTATGCGTCACTTCCCAGATACAGGACTGAGAAAAATGGAAGGTCGTCCTCACCCATCCTTAAACAATCACCACTTTGCCAATTACCTAAAAGCAACAGTTGTAATAACAGAGAAATTTTTGTAAGAAATGATCCTCCACATGTAGAGCATGAGCTAAAAATATCCTTATGCTATCCACAGCATTGGATGACTTTCCACCATCCTCCCCACACCTGAGAACACCCATGGGACCAGAGGCTGAGGAGCATCCCTGTATCCAGCAGGGCTGAGAGAGGCCTGCTGCCTCAGCTGATCCCTCTGAATGCAGGTCCAGTGGCAGACTGGCTAGAAGGCAAACGGAATTTTAATTTGACTTTTTTTCAAAGCAGAGCAGGGTCTTGGGAGGAAGATGCTGTCCCCAGGAGCAGAGCAAACCTCCTCCCAGCCCTGTTGTGAAATGCTGGCAGAGGAATAGTTGAACACCTGAAAACATCAAGACTTCAAAGACTTTAAATAAGGATCTAAATTGTTAGATTTTCAGCAGTTTGAAAAAAAATCTTTTGATTTAATTTTAATTGCTATTTACTAGGGTTAAAGTTAAAACAGTCTCATAAGAGTTTTCAGCAACAGAAGAATAAACATGGAGGACGAAGGCTAAGGAAGGGTTTAAGTTTCTTTTTTTTTTGCAGGGCATTTGGTGGGGTTTCTTTAGCCATGGAAAAGCTACAGTGTTACTCAGGCTGAAGGTGGAGGGAGGTGAATGTCTCCTTCTGATCTGCCCTCGGAAGGCCCCATCTGGAGTGCTCCATCCAGGCAGGATGTGCTTGTTAGAGCAGGGCTGGAGGAGGCCACAGAGATGCTCAGAGGGCTGGAGCAGCTCTCCTCTGCAGCCAGGCTGGGAGAGCCAGGGCTGTCCAGCCTGGAGAGGAGCAGGCTCTGGGGAGGCCTCATTGCAGCCTTCCAGTGTCTAAAGGAGTCAGAGAGTCATAGGAGAAAGGGGAATGGGTTTCAACTGGAAGAGGGGAGATTTGGATCAGATGTTAGGAAGAACTGTGAGGGTGGTGAAACACTGGACAGGCTGCCCAGAGAAGCTGTGGATGTCCCATCCTTGGAAGGCCCCATTCCAGGCCAAGGTGGACAGGGCCCTGAGCACCCTGATCCAGCCGGTGGCATCCCTGCCCATGGCAGGGGGTTGGAACTAGGTGATCTTCAAGGTGCCTTCCAAGGCAAGGCATTCTGGAACTCTATGAGGGTGCAAAGTGGATTCCTGCTACCTGGGCATGGAATGTTACCGAGCGGTTGACATGGAGAGTCCTGCTTCGAGGACTCCGTTTACCAGGAGTCTGTTAAGTCAGTTGATGGATTCTCTGCTGGGCATCAGATGCAGAGCATCTGTCTTCTCCATCCCAGGTGGGATCAGAAGGCGATTTGCTGACATTTGTGAGAAAAACTCTGGATTGAGTGTACAGGTGAGAGCAGATGATTTTTGAAGATGTTTCTGATGCTGTGGGGCTGTTCTGGGCTTCAGGTCCAGCTGCAGGTGGGATCAAGTACCAAACTCATGGACTTCCCCTCTAGCTTTGGGCAGAACCTGGTGACTTGGGAATGGGAATCTTGGAGCAGGGGAGTGTCTCAGAGAACAGGCATTCTAGATAGATAATGTCTCTGCTTTTCTGGTAGGTTTGGAAGAACATCATTCTCTGACCCCGAGAAATCAGAGCTTTGTAGCAGTGTGCTACCTAAAGGAACCCAAGGGATTGATTGCTGTAGCTTCCCTGACATTCCTTTTCGGTGTTTGTCTGCTTGCTTTTCCAGTGGTTTTAGATCATGAAACGCCATGAGCACAGTAAGTATTTCACTGCTCAATGCAAATCTGATTCTTGAAACATGTTTTCCAGGGTACTTCTAGAAGGGATTTCAAGAGTTTGTAGCAAATGCATGGGAACAGAAGCCTATTAAAACTTCATGTAACTTCATGTTCTGGGATATAGAAGATTTTGAATCTCTCTGGGTGCTTGTAATAGTTCAGAAATGCTTACAGTGTGAGCAACAGTCTGATATAATTGTGAACTACTCTCCTCATTTGCAAGCCATCAGGACAGGCTTTTTCTTTTTGAGGCAACTGGTAAGAGATCGGGGGAATGTCCTTTCCTTGATGTCATGTGCTCTGGTTGGAATGGCCCACAGCACCATTTTGATGCATATTCCAGCCCTTGTGGGAGTGTTTTCTGTATCCTTGTGTGCTTTCACTGTTGTTGCAAAAATGAGGGCCATGTTAATATTACTCCCACAGAAAATGCTAAGGCTTTGTTCTCTCTCAGAGGCAGCGGAAGCGCTGTGGGGAACCAGTTGATTCCAGACAAGCTCGGAAACGAAGAAGGTTGGTGGCTTCTAACACAGGTGGAGCCTCAGAAGCAGAGCCAGTAGACCCTAGAGAAAGTGGTACGCTTTTTTCTGAGCTTTGTGAGAACAAAAACTGTTTCTGAAGGGTTGGGGTCCAGTTGGATGTGAGCTTTTGCCCATTTCTAGGCCTTTTACTGGGAAAGAAGGGAAATTTGGATTTTAGGAAGCGCTTAGTATGACATCTCTGAACAACAAGCCTTCTGACAACTGTTTTGGTTTGTTACTGAGCTGTAATACATTCACCACTAGTGGGAGATGAGCTGTGTAGCAAAGGTCCTCAAGTGCTGCTCCAATTCTGAATGTCTACTCTGAGGTACTGCAGCTGCCACTACAGAGGGTGGCAAAGTGAATCTGGGATCTCCCAAGTTGGAAGAAGATAAGAAAAAGTGTCATTAGCTGTGCCTGCCCCATCCCTGAAGGGAACATGTACAGCATGTAAAATTAGGGTACCCTCCATGATTACAGTTTTGGTGTGGGTCTTTTTTTCTGTATGCTAAACATTACCCTATGTTAGATGAATCATCTTTTGGTGTGTACCTCCTGTGAGCTGTTGTCATCCAACAGAACTGTGTGAGGAGCTCAGCTGATGTTCCTCTTGCACTGCCCCTTGCAGGAAACAGAGCTGATGATGCTCTCTGTGGACTCTTGAGGGCAAAGCTTGAATGAAATGTTGGACACATTCCTGAAGAGAAAAGACCCAGGGAAAAGTTGAATCCAACCTCAGCCTGTTCCACAGTGGCAACTCATTTCATTCTGCTGCAGTCTCTGATCTTGATTTTAATGTTCCGTTTTTCAGCTGTTGAAGAAGTCATAGATCTCACAGATAGATCTTCTGAGCCTGAAGTCAGTGACCTAACTGATGATAATTCAGTTGTGGTAAGCAGTGAATGGCACACTTCTCTCCATCTTGCACTGAAATTAGTTTCTTATTGTGCTCCTGGGCCTGTCTTCTGGCATCTAACTGGGTATCTCTCTGAGCATCACTTCGACTTGAGTCGAAGAGTAATCTAAAAGAGCTTGTTGCTCCAGTGATTTAAAGAAAAAGCAAAGGAGAGGACAAGATGTCTCTGACTTCCCAAATAAGAAGCGTTTAGCTGCAACATCAGTTTAAGGTACTCCTGTCACTGAGGTGCCAAGTGCACCTGCAGCTGACTGGGGTACAAACTAGTCCTGTTTATTACTCCATGAAGTCTTTAAAAATGTCACTTCTTTTTCTTTTCAATTTTCTTGCAATTTGAAAGAATAGTCTTTGATCCAGCCCACAGTGTAGTTTATTTCCTCAGTTTTGGGATGCCACTGCTGCCACGCAAAGAACATGCAGCAGGCATAGGACGAAGGTATCTCCTGATAGGGCTATTCCTGAGCCTTTGCAAAGAAAAGGCCTCAAACTTTAAGACAGAATCTGCATGACTCAGCTCCAGCTACACCAAAAGCAGGTTTGGGTTTGGGGTTTCCTTTCTTCAGCAGCTGTTAACCCAACACAAAGTGTTTGTGGATATAACAGCTGAATTTGCCCGTTTAGGGGAAAAAGAGGGAAAGAAAGATCTCCAGCACAAAACCAATCAGGGAACTTAAAAGGGAGCAGGGAGGAGAGTGTTCAGGTGGTTCCTAAGCTGCCTCCATTTCTACCCCATTGCAGCAGTGGCAGCCGAGCCAGCAATACCCACGTTTTTTCAGAGCAGCAGATAATTCAGCAGTGCTACTGATGAGCGACAATGAAGAGGAACAAGGAGATTACGATGAGTA